CCCAAAACCCCAAAACCCCAAAACCCCAAAACCCCAAAACCCCATTGGGTGAATTATAAGTTGAAAAAGGAATTTTTGCGAAGGATGAGGGACTTCCTTTTCACTTTCTCTCCAGAATGAGCTGGAGTGTACCTCATCGAGCTCATATCATAGGAATGGAAGGAGTCTTCAAAGTCAAACGAATCCTTACTCTCTTCTGAAATTACTCACTCAAAACGATAGTTTGATTGTTTTAGGGATTTTAGAAGCTTAGTTGGATCTAGGCCATCACTCTCTTGTTTGGATTTTTCTCAATAATTTTGATTATTTTTGCTTGAAGAATAGCAAAAGTGGTCTCTTGTGATGATATTCTGAGATAAGAGAAAGTTCTTGAATGGGCTCAGGAAGTCATCGTAATAAACAAATTGGTTGTGGGTCATGTCTGTAGGTAAGATCAGACATGTTGGAGCTGAGCAGGCTAAGGCTAACTCTTCACCATGCTCAGAAGGAATTATATTATCTTTATTTTCCATGCAGTATAAAAGTAGGTCAAGCTACTTTTGCAATGTGTTCTGAGTTATTAAATCTCTCCTTTACTAAGAATTGGCAAAGACGCCCTAAGGGCATACCTTTGATGACTCCTCTGATTGATGTATAAGGACTTATCAAAGCTAGGGTACCTAGATGATATATAGATGCTAAATATCAAGCTGGTCCGGTCCCAATAGACCTATCCATGACAATGATGTCTTGGGTCTTCCACTTGAGAACCTTGAGAACAAACTCAATGACTCTGGTAGAGTCATTGAGGACATTGTCCTCATTAGGAACTCCCTTGTAGACCCCATATCCAGGATACTCGACTATCAAAATATGCATATTGATTGAATATTGCAAGTTCTTAATGAAGCTGTATGACTGGCCTAGATCCTCACTATTGCCGTGAAAGTACACCAGCATTTTATTGGTTTCATTCTTGCATCTGCTAGAAATAAATTTTAAGAAACTGTAAATAATGACTTGAAGGAGTGAGCTGCTTACAGGAACAAACATGGGATCACATTGTCTATTTTATTTGGAGCTTGAAAAACCCTTGAAGTTCTCGATTATTTGGCAACTGAGATCTACTGAAGATTTTGGACTCTTGCGAAATGGCTTCTTTGGTGAAGTCGAGTTGTAAGCTTGAGTTATTCATTTGAAAGGACTTCAAGTTTTGGAGAAAGAAGGGATGTTGATCTCCCCCTGGCCAGTGACTTCGCTCAGATCAAGCTCTACACTTGAATCTGTTTGGTTTCAAAAGGATTCTTCCACTTTTGGTTTAGGGAGCTTCAGTTTCACTGGAGGTGTATGGTAAAGCATCTGTAAGGATTTTTCTTCAAGGAGATTTTGCTTGGATCTCCGCCTGTATCTCCCTCAGACCCCATATTTATGCTTCCTAAAATCACCTTTTTGAGGGATATAGAAGAGTTTGCCTTCAAAATTTTCCACAGTATAGCTAGGTTTTGGGATCGGAAAGATCAATTTGTTGAGCTCCATTTTCTGACTTAAATATTATTTCTCAACTAAAATTGCTTCAAGGGGTTTTGGGGTTTTGGGGTTTTGGGGTTTTGGGG